ACATTCAACTTTTTAATTTCAAAAGCGTTCCTGACGTTCATAGTATCCAATCAATGAAAGATTCTCAAGTATTCTGATGATTTGAAGATTCAAATACGTTACTCAGGAGGTCAATAATGGTGGCACAAGCGCAATGAAATCCTTAAAAACAATAGGTACTTAAAATTTCCCTACCACAATTTATTTTTGCAAACAAACAAACTCAGCAGTATACTTTCATAAATTTTTGGCAATGAATGACCGTAGTAAAAAGAACAACCATAGAAAATTCGAATGAAGATAAAAGGAAAAATTAGTCTCAAAGCGGTAGAAGAAGAAATTTCAGTCTCTACAGCGGATTCCCTCATTTTTACTGAAATTTTTCATTCCCTGATGTGTCCTGGATTTTCCCGGTTTTCCCTAGTCTAGACAACATGTGGTCGAAACCGAGCTAGCAGCAAGATCATCAGGCGGAGTTGGTTATTTTGCATTGTGCGAAATAAAGTTTTAAAGCAAGACAGGACGCAATTTCTCTGGTAGGCAACTATTCCCGCACCGAGGATGTTCTCTGGCCTACCTTGACAATTGAAGGCTAATTATGAGTGTGCGAAACTTCCGCGCCTATACTGCGTGTTAGATCTGCTTCCTCTAAAAGTATTCAGTCATAAAACCTATTTAAATCATTGTCTTGATGAAACTACTGAATTTAACTTTCTTTTTAGCGAAGGTATTGAGCTTACAAGAAAACTACATATTGAAACTTTTTGAAAGTCACGGTATTTCTGGCTCCTTCCTTCCTACTGGTTTTGATATCGGGATTATTGCCGCGCTACTAAGATTTTGCAATTTCTTGAGAAAAAAATGTGAGAGTAGCACCTGTTCTGCAAAATGAGAGTGAATCATCGCTTTTCTGAAGAAATTTGAAAATTAGATATTTTTTTTAGGATATTCATACGGAGAAGCAGTTAAGCCAAAAAAGTATCCAGAAATATTGGAATCAAATTTTCACAATCAGTCCGACTCTGTTATACATATATTAACGTGAAACGGAAGAAAAAGGAGTGTTAAGCTCAAGGAGGAGCATAAAAATGCTTCCCTGCCTGGAATAAAATTATATTAGCTAAGGCTGAAATAAATTAGCTCGAGTTAAATGAAAAAAATAGGTATATTATGACATATGATTGTGAATTTACTTTTCAACCGGTTCTTATTTCTTCAATTGTAAAAAAGAATAGTTGAAAAATCGCATTGTGATTGCCTGTGTTGCAACATGCAGTCCATGCAATGATGATTCGTTCAAACACAGTCGCGACTCAGACGATGGAATATTTTACATGTCTAGGTTTTTTTTTTTTAAACCTAAGTAATAATGAGAAGATCTTGTATACGAAAAATATCCCGGAGATTCACCGTCGTTCGTGGCAACATTGCACAGGAGTCATCGAAGAGCTCATCAAATACTCGGTGCATGTCAAAACACCGACTAACAGTAGACAATTTAATGAACAGTTTTAATGAACAGATTGAACATTTGAGTTCCTGCAAGAGCGGGGAGTTTACGATTCAACCGACTATTCTTTTGTAAAATTTCGAGAAGCACGGTGCCATTGGTTCTGCTCGAAAATAATCTGCTAAGCTCATAAAAACCTCTTAAAATTGAGGCCGTAATGGCGGTAAAATTCAAGATTATGGGAGAGTTCACTTTTGTAATTAGGCAAATTCTCCGCGCTGAGGTAGGATCGAATAAATCAACATGGTTGCCATTCTGTGTGAGAGGTCCAAAATCTAAGTACTTGCGAAATTAATTTTCAAAACTTAAGGATTTTTATCCAACAGTCACAATGGCCCTACAATGACGGCTACAGTCGAGAAATGAGTTTCCTTTCTGCAATATTAAAATACCTCCGATTATGTTTCATCTGTTTTACGAGGAAACCAACCAACATATCTCCTAGGAATTTTTGAAGAGTGTTTTACAGTGCGTGAAAAATGTACCGTTAAAAGAATCTGTTAGTTGTTAATTTTATCGTAAAAAAATGACACATAATCAAATAAATGCAGCTTCACAACTGGAGACGCATATTTTTTTTTTTTACCTCAGCCATCGGCATGTTATCAGCAATACACTTTTACACATAGGTTTTTTCCCCCCAAAGATACGAGTGATTCGCTTGCTATCTATTTCTCTGATAAAAAAGGGGGTGAAATTTCTCATAATCTGATTGTGAGAGCTTTTTATGACCTTAAGCGTTGTTTTCAAGGAAGATCAGTTGCATCGTTGCTCCTTATTTCCACGCGCCACGCCTTCTTACATCAAATTGGCTATGACTCATTGTTAGTAAAAAAACCGAATGCAGATTAAACTACAGCGAGCTGATTATTGAAGTTGATAGACAAAGCGATAGACAAAGAAGACAGAATGAAAATGGAGTGATCTGGGGTGAAATGGGTGGCTGTCATAAAATAATAGGGGAAATGATGGACTAACCATAGGGTCTCCCTCCTCTACAAGCTGCCGATACTTCCTCCATGACTTTTACCTCCTTTGATGTCCATTGCAACCCACCCGCTTTCACCAATAGGATCACTCCGTTTTCTCTTTGTCTTCCTTCTCTATCACTTTGTCTATAAGTTTGATTGATTAGCCTGGACATACAGCTTACTATTGTCTATACTACCTCCTTCGTCCATTGACTCCATTGCAACTACCCGCGCTTCCACCGATAGTATCGCTCCGTTTTCTCTATGTCTATAGCTTTGTCTATCAACTTCATTAACCAACCCATAGATATAGCTTACTACTAACAGCGTCTATAAAGAGACTCTGAAGTTGAGATAATCGTTCCGCAGCGCTGCTGTGCGGAGCCTGTCGGGGATTTCGGCTAAACTATTCTTGAAATAAATCCTCTCAATCGACAACTGTGTGAGAAGAACCGAAGCAGAGGTCGAAGTGGGCCAGTCGTCCCCGGTTATGAGCTGCCGTAGAAGGGGGAGGGGGATTTGTCTAGGGGAGGGGGTACGTTGAGACTGGGATTCTCACGAGATCCCGGGAGTGATATCCGCGCACCTGAGTCTTCACGGGTGAAATCAATTACACGTAGCACTTAAGTATGTGTAAATGGTATCGCTGGTCGCAGCGCGGCCGTGGCTACCGTATTGATCCCGCAAGGGCGACGCGAACTCGCGACCAGATCGCCACTATACGCGATTTCCGCGTATGCATGAAATTGCAAGTGCAGGAAGTTTCTGCGAAGTTTGCTTGAAAGACAATTCAGTGCGCCTCCAATATCCGCGGGTCCTGAAAAGGGTCCTTAGTTTTCCTACCTGATGTTCGGATTGGGCGCGCCTAAAGGGCGCAGGAAGTTTCCGCCAAGTTTGGTTCAAAGACAATACAACGCAGCGCGGCTTTAATTATCCGCGGTTTGAACTATCTGCGGGTCCTGTTGGATGGTTTCTTTATCAGTTTTCCTTGATGTTCAGATTAGGCGCGCCTGGAAGGCGCATGAAGTTTCTGCTAAGTTTGGTTCAAAGACAATACAACGCGGCCTCAATTATCCGCGGTTTGAACTATCCGCGGGTCCTGTCGGATGGTTTCTTTTTCAGTTTTCCTTGATGTTCAGATTAAGCGCCTGGAAGGCGCATGAAGTTTCAGCTAAGTTTGGTTCAAAGGCAATACAACACGGCCTCAATTATCCGCGGTTTGAACTATCCGCGGATCCTGTTGGAGTGTTTCTTCTTCAGTTTTTCTATTTAAAATGTTCAAATTAGGCGCGCGTTTCTACTAAGTTTGGTTCAAAGACAATACAGCGCGGCCTCAATAATCCGCGGTTTGAATTATCCGCGCGGGTCCTGTTGGAGTGGTTCTTCTTCTTTTTTTCTATCGAATGTTCAGATTAGGCGTGTACGTTGAGGGCAATATCTCGTGATTGGTCGCATCAGAGTCATTTCACGTAATTCTACTTGTTAGCGATCAATTGTTGTTAGAGCTTCAGGAATATCACATATTATCCTTTTTGATGTCAACAGGAATAAGAGTCTTCTGGGTAGAATTTAACCACTTTTCAATGGTGCAAAATTCCCCCTCGCAAATTGGATTTTTACTAGGTGATTTTTGGGAGTTTCTAACTGAAAAGCCTGATTTTTCGCCGGATTTCACACAAAATTACGATGAATTTGGAAAAAAATGTAATTGTTCGAGTCATTTTTGCAACTTCAGAATGGCGTAACTTTCCGTCGTCCGGAAAACGACGAAATGTCTGCATGGGAGCAGTGGCGTGGCGAGCTGTGCGATACATCGATTGATCTGCCATCGACACCTATGGAAAAGGATCGATCATGTGGTGTTCCCAACGGACACCCTAATAATCGATTCTTTACCATAGCTTCAAATTGGGGAATCATCGAAAATCAGTCATCCTCGCCTCGCCTTTGCCTAGAGGTCATTATAGATTCTGCTTAAACGTTGGAAACTGGATTTGTTAGGAGGACTATTCTGTCGTGCCAAGGAAGGACGCCGTATGAACATTCTAGAGTTGCCAAATTTCCTCGAATTAAACATGTATTTGTGAGGAAAGTTTTGCATAGTTTTCCTTGAAATTTTCACATATTTTAGATTGAATCGCGAACGGAATTGTCAGAAAAATTTGGGGGAAAATATTCACAATATTCCCAGTGAATTTGACTTTTATAGAAAGAAATCGGGCAACATATGGAGGCTCATACGGCTTCTTTCCTTAGCATGGCAGTATTCTGCCGTGCTAAGGAAGAACGCCGTATGAACATTCGAGAGTTGCCAAATTTCCTTCGATAAAATGTTTATTTTTGAGGAAAGTTGTGAATATTTTTCTTTGAAATTTTCAAGGACTCTAGGTGAAATTGCAAACAAAATTATCTGAAAAATTGGAAGGAAAATCTTCATGAATTTACCAGGAAATTCGTGTTTTATCAAAGGAAATTGGGCAACGCCTAAACGCTCATACGGCGTTTTTCCTTAGCACGGCAGTATCGTAATGTGGATTTACCTTGAAAGTAGCTTTTGGTGCGGAGATAGCTGACGGAGAGTCGGAGGATGGAGAGGCGGTCGAGCTTGGAGAGGATGTTCTGCTCGAACGGAAGGAGGTTGGCCAGGGTGTCCAGCTCGGCATTGAGCCGCTCGCGGTGACGCTTCGACGGATTGCTCTTCGTCACCCCATCCTTCGGCGGCGGCTTCAGGCTGAAACATCAATCCAAACCATAGCAATCAGTCACTATTCGATAGTAGAGAACCCCCACCACGTGGAGAGGAAGACCTATGTTCTTGGTCCCGGTGCGAACAGAGCGACAAATCCACATGGGAGTTCTTACATGTTTCAGGGATTTGCAATTTAAGTACTTCTTCTGTGAAATATTGTAAAAAACAAGATGGTGCCTCTATATTTTCTGAAATCAACTCTTGACCTTACGAAAAAGCTTTCAAAAAGCTCTTCAATTCATGAATAAATCCAAATGTTCCAGAGATATTAGAAGATAAAACGTTCCGGAGTACTAACAGGAAAGGCATTTCTCACAATCTTAGTTAACTCAAACACATATCGACGGTGTAAGTTGGCAATCACATAACTCGTTTGCGGTGTCTGAAAATCTCCGCCTCTACATTTTATTTTCTTAAAGGAGAACAAATTGACATAATTCCTTGAAGTCATTGCAGAATTTTCTTCGCACAGAGAAGAAAAATCACGGTAGTTGTAAAGAATTGCCTTTGAGTGGTTTTCCGTTTAAAAAATAAAATATGATAGGAAGTCTGCGACGCTGCAAACCGAGTCATGTGATTGCCGACTCACACCGTCGATATGTCATTACTTAATGAAAGATTGAATTTCCAAATAAAAGACTTTCGAATATGATATAATTTTTTTATGTACATTTGATTTAATGCAGGGTACTTAGAACACAACAATAATGAAGCTCTTGTATGTGTCAGGAATATGCGATTTAAGCACTGATGCGTGTGTAAAATTTTGCGAGAAACACTATGGTGCCACTGCTCGTGTGTGTATGGAAAGTTTGATTAGATACAAGGGTGAACTGTCTCCTCCATTACGGTCTGAACTTTGAGAGCTTTTTTTGAGCCTGGTAGTTGATTCCAATAAAAACCGGTGGTACCATCGTATTTTCCTCGAAATTTTACCCAAAAAAGCACTTTAATCACAAATCCCTGACAAATGCATAAACTCCATTTGACGGTCATTTACTTTTTGACGGATTTTCCAAGCATTGCGAGGCGAAGTGAGTGATCGTTAAAGGTCAATTTTTCGTTTAGAGGACAGCATGGATAGAACCAAGGACATTTTATAGGGGCTGGGGGCTGGAAGGCACTAAAACACACCACACCAAGGGAGATTTGCGAGACTTTTCCAGCTCAAAAGGGGGGTTCGGGGGGTTTCCTAGGTTCCTAGGTTCGGCCCGAGGGGCCTCTTTCAGAAGTCTTTGAAAAATTGAGTCATCATGCTGCAATAAATTTTGAGCTGGTCTCACCGAAACTTGATTGAATTATAATTTCAAACATGAAATACATGCCACGCACGACATCGACGGTTTGCGACGACGTCGCGTCGCAGCTACTTCCTGTCATACTTTATTTTTTAAATGGAAAACTAATCAACGGCAATTCTTTAATACTGCCGTAAATTTTCTTCTCTGTGTGAAGAAAATTCTGCAAAAACTTCAAGGAATGATGTCAATTTTTGCTCCTTTAAAAAAAAATAACATAGAGGCGGAGAATTTCAGACACCGCAAACGAGGTATGCAATTGCGGACTTACGCCGTCGATATAATGTACAACCAATGAATAAATTCCTGCACTAAGGATATTTTCTAGCCTACTTAAAAAATTGAAGGCCAAACGGCTCTGTCCGTAACCTACAAACCTCCTTCATGACAATCCTGCTTCCTCTTTTCCAGCAGGAAAACATTTTTTAGAGCATCCTACACGGTTGATAAATGTCGAACTTTGATAGAGTTTTATAATCTGCCGGGGAAAGCCTAAATACGAGTAACTCATCCGATGAGTTTCCCTGCTCCTCCGCTAGTTCCCCCTTCTAAAAAGCCATGTTTCACACCGATTCCAGATGGCCGAAGAAAACTTGCTCTCGATATGACGCGCTTTTTCTGGCGAATAATGCACGCGTACCCAGTCGCTCACTCATTACAAGTGTTCCGTTGGCGCGGTCGCTAAATCATGCAATTCGTTCGATCATCAACTCGATAGAATTTCTCCATTTCATTTCCATGTTGGCAATACCGAGCGAGGCACTTTACGCGGGCGATTAAGCAGTACAGCATAGCGTGTTCACAGAAAAGAAAAGTTAATTTGACAGGTTTTTCCGTCCCTATCGTGATGTCGTAAACGATTAATCGGCGCAAGTGAAATTTCAGGAATTTTTTATCAAGGTAGACCAACTCTTTTGAACAATCCATTGCTTGTTTCTACTAGTGCAGCCAGGGTTCTTTCGACAGGGGTCTGTAGTCAAATATGTTTCGTAGAAGGAAGCTCAGGGTAAAAACTACTGAAAAACGGTTGTTGACGACTACGTCAGCAACTGTTTTTTCAGTGCTAATCTAGGAACCGCGATTTTTTTCCCTCTCGGAAAAGCCAATTTCTGATTTCCGGGATCCTTCCTAGAATCTCCGGTTGCAATTATTCACTTTTTGAGGGAGCTGACGGCGATACACGTCCAGACGCACATTCATGCGGTACACATTTGAATCGATGCATGCTAAAATGGCGTAAGTCCAAAAACTCATGAGTCTGCGCGAACAATTTCGTTGCGATTCCTGCGTTATCAACGAACACAAGGGCTTATGAGTTCTTGGACTTACGCCTGTCTAGCAGATACCGATTCATTCACAATGTGGGGAAGACTTGGAGCTATTCCGAGAAAGCTATTAATCTGGAATCACAGAAGAACCGCGAATCACGGGAATTTGCAAGGCAATGGTGAACAAATAGAAAATCATAAAATTCAGCAATAAAGGAACAGGACTAGTACTGATAATTTTGCCTCTAATCTGAAAATAAACTTTTTCCTACGTAAAAACACGGTGGTTACAGGCTGACAGTTACAGGCAGGAGAACATGCAGTGACTTCCCAGACCCTAGTTGAGTTTGTACGGGCAACTAAACTAACTCTGTGACAAAGCGTAGAGTATCACAAAACTTTGAAGGCGTTCCAAAACGAGATCGTGTTTTTGAAGGCCATTACCCATTAAACCTTCACTCTGCAGTTGCAATTTATCGCAACAACCAATTACAAATTTCCGGCGATTGCTTATTGCTTGCGACGTACCGATGACCAAAGTGCGGAACTACGTATTCCCATTGCTTTGATTCAAAATTTCCGCTCCTATTTGATTATTCCTTCAAGGAGAAACAAGCCAATTTTAGCACATGAAGTTTAAACGGATATCCTCCGTGAGTCCACGACAAATAAGAACGCACTTCTAAACTGCAACAGTAGATCGTCTGTCATCACTTTCACACATAAAGTAAATGAAAAAATCAAGATGGCGGATCCTCTGTCGCCATCTGAAAGTGCGTAAACTTATTTGACGTGAACTCCAACAGAGAGGAAAAATCACAGACGTTTAAAGGAATTATGTCGACTAGTGCTCTAAAGTATCCCAGGAAGTCTGCAACGTCGCAGATGGAGATACAGGGTTTCGCATTTTGGCCGTGTGGATATAGGCAGAGATTCGGCAATATTTGGATGCTCTCTGGGCTTTCCTCGTATAGGCGGTAATATTGTGGGGCTTTATTCTGGAACTCAATTTTCGGAATAACTCCGGTGACTTGAGCGTGAAATTTTCGGCCCCATTACGTCAACGTCACACGTTTGATTTGGGCAACAACGAGTGAAAGTGCAGACCAAGACAGGCATCATATCAAATGCATCGCAATTCATAACCGTGGCTTCATCGCGAATACATGAGCTTCCTCTCCCCCACTTTCCCGCATGCCATCGTCCTCTCTGTTTACGTTTAATTGTCTTTTTAATTATGGATATGAGGCCACTTCCATGTGAATCTCAACCCTACTCCCCCCGCCTACTCCATCCCACCGCCGTCACCACTAAGAAAGAACGTCGTACCAGCTTTTAGACGTTGCCAAATTTCATTTGTAAATTACGAATTCAGAAGAAAATTTGTGAAAAATATTCACAAATTTTCTTTCAAATTTTTTTTCGGCAAGCTTTCAGGGGCTCACGTCGAAAAAGAATTACATATTATTTACCTTAAGAAAGGAGTCAAAGTCCCTTACGTCAAAGAGCGAAAAAAAGAGCCCCAAAATAGCAGGGAACTGTTGAATTTGTAGGTGGATAAAGTTTAAAGTATTTTTAATGATAGTGTGATAGAATAGGTCGAAGATTATACATTTGAGATTTTTTGTTTTTTTACGTTACCTACGTTACCAATAGGTAACGTAGGTAACGCTGACACTGAATCCCCCTCCTAGAGCGTAACGCAGGATCATACCCCCTCTCAGAACGTCACGTAAATTATGATCGCTCTGTAACGATGTATAAAGGGTAAAGACCGAGGCCGACATGACTTCGGATTCGTAATGAGTTTTAGGACGAAATCCACGGAGAAAACTACCAAAAATAAAAAAACGAGAAAATAAGAATGACAGGCGCATTTTAAGTTGGTCAAAAATTTCTAAAGTCTGATCGTACTTGAGGCAAAATTCGTTAAAATGCTTCCGTTCTCATTGTTCCTTTGATATTCTCAGGAACTCTCGTTTTTTGTCCTTAATTTGGACTTAGCTTTTTTTTTTCGATGATTGGTGAGTTACTAGCCAACACGTCCCTGCTTTTCTGTTTTTTGTATAGTTATTTTTCAGCCTTACTTTCTGTTTTGTTTCGTTTTCTCTTAATACGTTCATCTTCACAAACTACCTTATAAATTCTGAACGCATAACTAGAACATGATATTTTAGTTAATTGCCAGGGAAATAAGGTGCGTATCGTCGCGCTGTCTAGACTTCGATTCTCAACAAGAACTCATACTTTTGTATCAAATACTTGAGATGAGAACCATGTCAGTTACGCTCTCACGTCTACATGGGTCTGTTCTCTCACCATTTTGCAGTGATACGGAAGAGAACCGTATGTGTGTTTCTGCATGAACTACGATTAATACATGCTCCTATGTATCTTGAGGCTCATCCCAAAATCC